GTGGAAGGATTCATTTATTACGGGATAATTAATAAGCATATTTCTGTTATAAAAACTAAAAAGAAATTATACAAAAAATTTGAATGGTTAAAATGTAAAGTGAGAAGTTTGTATTAAAATAAAAATTTGAATGGTTTAAAAAGTAAAGTGAGAATGATACAAAAAATCGTTTAAAAGAAATGATACTAAAAAGTAAAATTTTTTGTTCATTTTATCTAGAAGTCGGCATTAAAATAAAAACAAAACTTTTATATTTAAAAATTACTCATGCGTTCAAACTTCAAAGTTAGATAAAACTCATGAACATATTTTAATACGGAGTATCAATTAATTCATTAAAATATGTCGATCATGGTTTTGGTCTTTTGGAAAAGCGTAATGTTCACTCCATTTAAGGACAGGAGATTAGGTCAAAGTTGGATAGGTGAAAATATAAGACATCAAAGACAATTTCAAAAGATTGGGAGTACTCCGGTCCCTAATATCCTCATAAAAAAAGAGTAGTCTAAAATAATTTTAAAATGAGAATATAAATTATAAATAATAAATTTTTGAAATTTATGATCATTCTATGTGTGAATCTAGCATTGCTCCTTTGTGTCCAGAAATGCTTGGTTCACAATCTTTACAAATTTACTATTTATAAACTTCATTTAAAAAAATTGAATAATGTAAAATAACTTTAAAATTAGAATTTAAACCATAAATATTAAGTTTATGAAATTTACGACCATTCTATTTATGAATCTAGCATTGCTCTTTAGTGTCAAACATATCAACTTTTATCCGGTCCAATAGTACCACTCGGCATCAAATTTTGAAAAATCTGGTTTATTGTCAAATTGTCAACGTATTAAATGGGAATATATGGGACTTGATAAATTCTTGCATGAATTTAAAAAAATATATGGTGTATTTTTTTAGAATAGAAATTTAAAAAATTGTGTGAGAATGTCCATGCTGACTTGAGGTCAACGTGCCACCTCTCATGGGACAATGGAAGTAATTTTTTGGTTCTTTTGGAGGCAAGCAACAAGCTAGCCAAAGATCACTTTGTAATACCCCAACCCGCATAATTCAAACCATCAAGTTAGTAAATCAGGTTGCTACTAATTTGGTATTCACATCTACAATAATTTAAAATATTCAGAGTAAAACATACAGTCATATTAATATAAAATGAATATAAGTTAACCGGAGTAAAAAAATCTAAATGTTGCGGAAGCCTTAAATCCAACTTCCAAAACAACTTAATACTTTGAATAATAAACAAAAAGGTTATTTTAAAAGTTTAACATAAGAGCTTCAATCATCCACCAACATTGCGCCTCATCGTGTGCAGTCAAAGACAACAAAGACTACGCCCTCAGCTAAAAGCTGAGTGAGTATATATATCTAACTTTAGAACTAACCCTTGGACTAACATGCATCAACATATAATCACACAACATCCGATGAAATAACAAATATCATTATTCAATAGTAAAATTATGGTATGCTTAAAATATTATTCTTGACACTTTAAATTTCCAACTTCCGGATCTGGCCTAGTCATTAATTAATTTACTGGGCATGATCAAGATAAGAGGATACAGATTAAATCCAAATGATGAATATGATGTTGCCAAATGTCATAGAATAAGATTTTCTAATGTTATCAAATCACTTCTTGAGTTTAATGAAATTGTCTAAGTTTCATTTTTTGGTAGGCTAGTTTAGAATTGTCATAACTCAAAATCTGTATATTGGATTGGTTCATAAAGTATACCGTTGGACTCATGTCTTCAAGACATATCTATAAAATTTTGTTTAAGGAAAAGGTCATTAATTTAAAAATTCCTTCATTTTTGGTCAAAGGCTGAAACAATACATTCTTAGATCAAAATATAGTTTCAAAAATGCTTTTACCATGCAATAAACTTTAGGCCATCTTTTGGGGCGTTACATGATCACACCAGGCCTTTGCATCCTACTGCTAGTCCCATTAACATAAGGCCCTATAGATATCCTATCAAGCAAAACGATGTCAGTGAATAGTTGGTTACAGACATAGAATGTAACACCCAACTCACATAACCTAATAAAAACGAGTTAGAGAACTGGTTGCTAGCAGCTAAATGACATCCACATGATAGTCATTTTAAAACATTTAAAATAAAACATCAATTCATTTTAATTCTAAATAAACATATGTCATCGGAGTAAACAAATCAAAACATTGTAGAAGTCTTTAAAACGATATCACCAAAATAGAATTGTAATTTAGGTAAAAGATTTCAAAAGAATAATTGATTTAATAAAAAAAAGCGTTGGGTCATCTACTTCGCGAAGAATCACTTAGCACACATTTGTTCATCTAATACCTGATTTCAACATGCATGCAGTCAAAGACAACAATGACTACACACTCAGCTAGTAGAAATATCCAAATATCAAATATATATATATATATATATATATATATATATATATATATATATATATATATATATATATA